AAGGGAGATTCATGCCAAAGATTGAGGGATTGTTAGAAGTTACGGAATGTTTCTTTATTATAATCAAGCGTCACCTTGACTTGAAGAGAGAAATTCAAAACTTAGTGGATGGGTTATGCAGGCAGCCGCTCCCCTTCCCCTCCCTCCCCCCTGTTGATGCCATTTACGAGAACCGAAGTCCCATGTATTGATCGCTTGAAACAACTTCAAATTGTCACAATACACACTTTTCTATGATCACATATATCACAAGTTTCGAGCTCCATCTGTGATTTGAGAGCCGAGATAAAGTGGAGAAAGCTGTTGTCGAAAACTCATATTTTTGTCGACCCGAGCTTCCGCTTCAATGAAGTACAAATCGACAGAAATCAAGAAATGTAGGAATGCTCTTACACTATCTTATAGAGTGGAAACTTATCTATTAGACAGTGTAGAACACATGAAAAAAAACACACGTTGTCATTTCCCAGGTAAAAACTTGTAAGAGAAAAAAATCGCCATTACTTATGGGCTAACCTAATAATTGGTACTGATCCATCGTAGAGAGGGACTGTTTTTCCTTTGCGCCGCTTTGAACCAACGTAGGGTTTCCTGGTCAGTTTAAAGCAAAGGTTTCAGTTACTGCACAGGCTAGCAGCTCTCCCCTCCAACCTGCTCGAGCTCAGGCGGTCCCTTTACAGTGGATGAACAGTTGCATAATGATGGAAAACGAAAACTATACTTAGAAAGTACGTAGAGAATGTTAGCAAGAACATAAGACTCCAAAAGATTTAATTGCAAGAAAAAATGCGGGGAAAACTGCCCATATTCACAGGACACCCGTGATGCAATCAAGCGCAATGGCCTTCATACAGAACGAATATACGATAATAATGATCATAGCATGAACTAACGCATCACTATTCAGATGTCCACTATCAGTGCTGGAAGCATAATGCGGCGCACATCACATCAGTACTGGAAGCGGTAGTAACGAAACGACTTGAAGGTGGGCAGGTTTTCGCTGGAAAACACAAATAGCATATCTAGTGATTATCGCATCAATGGTCCGTCAAGGAATGACAAACCGTGTGTCAGCGTGGATCTCATCCTCTCTGCAGTGTTGGACCGTCAACTGTCGTTTCTTGGTGTATTGTTGCGATGGTATGTGGACGTGAAATCTTTCTATCTATCCACAAACGATAAGGGCTTATGGTATAAAGCGATGTGAAAGGACCCAACACCGGGAGGAGACCATATATAGTAGCCGTGTTGTATTCAAAAAATGGATGGTGGTATATGTTGAATTGACCGATGCCGTAAAATATGACGCGACGACACAAAGAATATAGGAAGGCAGGCCTGGATGACGAGCGCCTTAAGAAGTCTTCTATATCACAGGGCTCAAAATAACACCTATTCCTGTAGATGACACCTGCTTAAATACGAATGTTCCCATGGATATTTCCTCGGTCATAGGCTTCAAGCTCAAGAATGGTTCTTGTTGTGCGCGTATATCACACGTGTAACTGCAGCGTGTTTGGCAAGTCCAAGTTTTATCATATACAATGTGATCTCATTTCGAATTGAATTCTCCATTCTGGACTATTCCGCGCCTGTTCCTGTGTTGCAGTGAACTTCAAGCATGTTAAAATTTTAGATGAGCAAAATAATGCCCTACTGCCGCAGTTGAGCAACGAAGTGACCAGCTCATTCTCTCACACTGGAACGCTCCTGTGCATTACTAGGAATCCGAAAGATGATTGGATGATTCGGATATCTTCACCCTTGCCATGCCTCCGACCATGGGCACAGTCTCTGATAATTTCAGGACTTTATCAGTTTTTGCAGGTTGAGCGTGTATTTGAAGTTGTTGCCAGCAACGTGTCCCATTGTTGCTGTCACCAGATGTTGTATTCAGCTGTGAAGTTTCCGTGAAAGCTTTACCGATGTCCCGATATAAATGTGCTGTTCTGGTGTGCGCCAAAAGCTCGTAAACAACGCTTCGGACCAGCCGTCAACATCGCTTTTCTGCGGAGAACAAAGCAGCATCTAAGTTTTCAATAAAAAGCTAATCTGTGACTTCTTTACTAATACTCAGATTATCACCGCATGCCTTTTTCGCTTGTCTAGAGTCTAGGCTTCAAACATGCCATGCCAAGCAAGCACGACCGAATTCAAGATGTGAGCACGTAACCAAAGCTTTGTTGGTGCACTCGCTGACACTTTTGCGTTCATCATTGCCTTCGCTTATTGCTTGCGCTGCAACACTGCTCATTTCAGCTCTTTGCAGCCGCGTAATTCACCATAGTGAACTTTAAGCAAAGGTATGAGTACTCGGAGCACCAGAGCTCGTTCCAGCGGAGCGTCAGAATGCTGTTTGATCAAACCTTACGTTGTTAAACGGGACATGGCTGAGAAAAAAATCAGAACGTGAATGGTGGATAATTTTCTCGATTAGTGCCCCGGATGCAGCTGTTCGGTTTAGAAGCCGGAAGCATTTTATTTTGGTTTTCGAAAGTTAACCGGAAATGGTATCCCTTAAGGAGTTTCGAATTTCGGACTGCGAAAGTTGATGATCGGTTTTCGAAGCCAATTTAAAGAACCCGTTACCGTATTTTTGGTGTACTGATGCTCTCAAAAAATATTCCTTTTCTATATGAATAGAGTCAAGAGCTCTCAGGTTAATATGTAAAAAGCACTCAAAGAGAAAAAGCTTGTAAAAGAAATGGTTCATTAGACGACTGCCCCTTTATTCCTATCGTTAGTGGTCTCCATGCTTCATGCAATAGAACATTCCGAACCCCCCCCCCCCCCCCCCCCTCCTATTCTCACGGACAACATTTATAAAAAGTCTTCAAATACGGTCTGCATTCCTTTTGCCTATTGCAATATATCCCGTCCATAGATTGGCCACATAGAGCATCCCTTGAGTTCCATTAGATCACTGTATCAGATAATCAAACAACAATTTGAAATACGGTATAACTATCTGAGCTTGCTTAATGCGGGGTAAGCACACTTCAAGTCTAGAAGCCAAAGCAAATCAAAAATCAAAAGGTTAGGTGCATTGTACCGTGTTGTCACTATTGAGGCGATGCTCATTTTTTTATCACATCATTTCCTTGTACGCTAGATGTCTTTTTCAGAAGTTGAGTAGCATTTCTGCCTCTTCCAAGTGAAAAAGAAGATGTTGAAATGCAATGTTTGATCTGGTTCCACAACCTCGCCTTTCCTTATCTAATACATCTGATGGAAGTGCTTTATTCAAGGCACTCAAGATCTGTGAGAACTTTCCGGAAAACCCCGGATATAATAATGTAATATACAACATATAGTGACTTGGATTTTGGGTGCAAAGTAACTGCACAGCGTTTAGCGAGAAAAATCTCACCCTGAGCAGTTGCGAGTGAAGAACACGAGTTCGCTTGGACATGTTTGCACAGCTCAGTGCTGTGATAATAAGCTTCCTGAGAATGAGAATAGCAATGTAAGTTGGAGTGACTGGTAGTGTCATGTAAAGTATTGGGACCAGAGTCTTCCATTTGAGAATATTCAGGTGACCGCCCATGCATTCGGAGCTCGTGTTGTACCCAATATTCTTCTCAACAGCCAACTTGACATCGGCGACACTGTCGCCATCGAAGCAGAAGAGCACCTAGATTCATCTCATGTCATTTCTCATGTTTCCAACAACAACTCCCTGAACGACTTACCAGAGCAACAAAAGATGGCAAGTAGACTAGAATAAGGATCGCGATTATGGTGCGCCTTTTTGGATTAGCAAACATCAAAACGTAGTAACGGTAAGCAAATGAGAGCAGTAAGCTTGTTAGGGAATGAGCGATACAATGGAACATCGTAGCGTATCTAAACCGATAACAGTTTTCTATAGGGGAAACATTAATGGAAAATGTATAACAAAGCTCACGATTAGAAGGAAACAATGTTCGGTAAGAAAATAAGTCAGTAATAACAAAGAAAAAATGCCGCGCTTACTAGCTACTTCTACTACTACTACTAGTACTACTACTACTACTACTACTACTACTACTACTACATAATAATAATAATAATAATAATAATAATAATAATAATAATAATAATAATAATAATAATAATAATAATAATAATAATAATAATAATAATAATAATAATAATAATAATAATAATAATAATAATAATAATAATAATAAATAATAGCTTCCAATTAATACAATATATATAGTAAAAGGATAAAGGCGGAAGTGTCCCGCCGTTGATGCAATTCCTTTTGTGGGATTGTCACGGCCCTCTATTAACTTCCATTCAGAAATCGTAGTGGCTTCTCTAATGCGATGTGGTCTATACAATGACTTGCGCTGGCCAGCCAACGTACAGGTCAGTGTTTTGTCCTCCCAGACATCTAGTACCAATTTACCGTCCGAGGGGTAGGAAGGCTTGTGTGGCCTGAGGGGGGGGGGGCGGGTGGTCCGACCGGGACGTTCGTACCCGGCGCCCCGCGAGTGGTAAGCGCTGCCAACTGTGTCACTACCACCTCCGCCTCAATTAATAATAATAAAATAATAATAATAATAATAATAATAATAATAATAATAATAATAATAATAATAATAATAATAATAATAATAATAATAATAATAATAATAATAATAATAATAATAATAATAATAATAAAGCGCTGTTTAACGGGGGCATTTCGTACTAACATTGCTTCCCTAGTTCCGGTTTACGAATCTCACCATGGTAAAACATGTGAACCCAACGCCTGTGAAGCTGGAGTAAGATCGTCTAGCGACCATCCTAAAACGTGTCATCTGAAGAGAAGAGAGAAGGCTACCTAGATGGGTGGCAAATCTATGGAAAGCCGAATGCCCCCCCCCCTCGTCGACAAATCTGCGCTAATAATAATAAGCAATTATAATAACCAGTCGCCTCGCCGGCTGACGCCGGCGCGGCTCCTTCTGATACGGCCCGGCTGCGCCGGGCGGGCGCGGCTTCGCCGCGCGTACCTTCTCTCACATATTTCTAGACTCAACTGATATCCGCCTTTTGTTCTGTACTTACTTTTCTCCGGTGTCTGAAGTACTCTTGAGCTGTTTTACAAATTCTTCGTCTGACTCCGCCCACAGAGCAGATCCGCCCTCAATTTTTGTGCCCCGCACTCTTCACAGGCGACCCCCTGCTGACCTTAATCCACTTTTTTCCGGTGTCTGATGTGTTCTGGAACCGTTCTGCAGAGTTTTTGTCTGGCTCCGCCCACCTCGAAACAGGCTCCGCCCCAATTTTTGTGCCCCACAATCCTCATTGGCGACCCTCTGCTGACCTTGATCCACTTTTTTCCGGTCTTCGGAGTGCTCTGGGAGAGTTTTGGAGAATTTTTGTTTGGCTCCGCCCAACTCGGGCTGGCCCCGCCCACAACATGTATACCCCACATTTCTTAATCGGCGACCCCTTGCTGACCTGAATTCACTTTATTCCGGTCTTCGGAGTGCTCTGGAACCGTTTTACAGACCTTTTTGTCTGGCTCCGCCCACCTCGAAGCAGGCTCCGCCCACAACGTTTTTGCCCTCGATCCCGGTCCTCACCTTCGACCCTCTGCTGACCTTAATCCACTTTTTCCGGTCTTCGGAGTGCTCTGGGAGAGTTTTGGAGAATTTTTGTCTGGCTCCGCCCACCTCGGGCTGGCCCCGCCCCCAATGTTTTTGCCCCACAATCCTCACCGGCGACCCTCTGCTGACCTTAATTCAAGTTTTTTTCCGGTCTTCGAAGAGCTCTGGAACCGTTTTACAGACCTTTTTCACTGGCTCCGCCCACCTCGGAGCAGGCTCCGCCCACAATGTTTTTGCCCCACAGTCCTCACCGGCGAACCTTTGCCGACCTTGACGCACGTTTTTCCGGTCTTTGCAGTGCTCTGGAACCGAGCTACAAACTTTTAAAGTGAGTATCCTGCGGTTTAGGGCAAGCTCCGCCCACTGTGGGCGGATCTCAACACACTTTGGGCATGCCCAATACTCGCCAGATATTTACATTCTGCACTGAGCTTTTTGCGGCTTCTGAACACTCTCGCGAACCGAGTTACTGAGTTTTATGCGAAGCACCGCCCACCTTGAGTACGCCCCGCCCATTTTGGATGTGTCTGCCACAGTTAGTCTGGCGACTCCTTACTAACCTTATTCCCTTGTTTCACCATCTTAGGCTGCTCCGGAAGCGAATTATGAACATTTTTCTGTGAACCCCAAAATTTCAGCGAGTGCCCCGCCCACTGTGGGCGGGGCTTCCATAGGTCAAGTGTGCTTTTTATTTCTTGTCCCATGCTCTACCCATCCCCACCTTCCCGACCTCTCCAAGTCGTTCTTCAGGTCGAACCGAATTTCCGGACAGACAAGCGAGATAGCTTACAGGAACAAAAGCTTAGAAACTTACAATACAAATCTTACCAAACAAACTTCAACAAGAAACAGACGAAAGAATAATGATGGGTGATAGTAATAATAATAATAATAATAATAATAATAATAATAATAATAATAATAATAATAATAATAATAATAATAATAATAATAATAAATAATAATAATAATAATAATAATAATAATAATAATAATAATAATAATGGACCAGTATGTTCTTCCAATGCATGTGAGAACTCACCCAATGTGGCAGATCGATGGCCCAATAAATTTACACGGTCCATGATAGAATATGTACAAATCGAGGCCCACACCAGATATTCTTAAAATCGTTGGGTGTCGTTGATTGAAGGCCGTTTATACAAGAGTCGGGGGTCAGAGGCTATGGATTGACTACAATTACAAACTATGAAATGCTCGGGCGCGAAAACGTGTGCTGCCTGGCTGCAGAATAGTGGATCATTACATCAAATTGCAAACCGCCAGCACGCATTTTGATACCAAGGGGCACGAACTCGTTTGTTACATGCAGCCCAGTTATTTTTGCGTTGAGTTTTGGGTTCCGACAACACCAAAATTCAAAATGAATTTTTAGCCTTCTCTGACAAAATTTTTGCTCCTTTCCAGATACAGTCCAATCGATTTCTCGGGCATTCCCTCATTGGCTATTGGACTTCAGTCTCATGTTGTCGGTTTCTATGTGAACAGGTAGCATCCTTTAGGCATAAGATGGCCCTTTCCATGTGCGAAGTGAGTCAGCAGCTGCACTAGCGTGCCGCCCTTTCTGGTCAAAAGTGCACGGGGAAGGGCTGGATGCAGTGATACTGGGGTGCCGCCCTCATACTACGCCAGCGCTATGCTCAGTGACCCGCAGAAGCACTGACACCGAGAACCCGCAGGGAAACACGCACTCACCGCTAAGAAGTAGAAGTGAGAGGGTTCAGACGAGCAGCGCATTTGGCCAAGCTCAGGTACGTGGCTCGTTGTGTAGCAGCGCCGCGCATCGGTATGTGACAAGACAATAATAATTCGCCGCGCTGGTGAGCTTCGCGTGCACCGTCGTGCCCTAAAATGAAGATTATGGCAGACAATAGGCGTAACCAAAAACCAAAGTCAATGATAGTCATAAATGCCTGCGATGTCGCAGTCTACACGAAATGCGGTGCACCAATCGGTGCACCAAATTGAAGAAACGCAGCCTCCATCGTCGCGCCCCACGGGGCTACCAGTTACGATTGTCTTGACCGTCTCCAGGGTATCACTACCCTCCAGCTCTGCTCCAGCGCTTTTTTTGACCAAGAGGAAGTAGCACGCCACTGCCGCTGTGGACCCGTTAACGGTACTCATTTATGGCAAGGACCAAGATCCACTGAGGGGATTGTACAATTTGTTTTTACTCACGCGAACAGCTCACGCAAGGTGGAGTGGGGAGCGGCGGGGTGAGAAGGGTTACTGGAACGAATCGGTGTTAGGTCTAGCCACATGTGAAGACCAAGAACCAAAAAGCCTTTCCCGTTTTCAAATAAGAAAATAGGGGATTTCTAGGCGGCGGCACAACAACAACCCTCTGGACGCTTTAACCCGTCAATTTTTGAAAGAGTTCTGTGGTAGAAATTCCACTTGGTCGGGACGTTTTTTTACAATTCCGATGTGAGTGCTTCTTACAGACCAAAGTCTCCAACCAATGATGTGCCCTGCCAGTCGCAGCAACCTATGACGGAGTCTAGACAGGCCAAATAGCTTAGGTGATATGGTATCATCTTGTCGTACAAAGATGTCGGGTAATTTCACTAGATAGTCGAGGAAAGGTC